ACAAATCCGATGCATCAATCTTCGTCAATCGAGCACAACTAATGACTCTTGTATAGTGTCAGCACGACTTGATGTGACTTTAAGGTCGCATTATCATCTCTAGACTAGGTTCACCTTACACTATATAAGCAATCCATTTGCTGTTACAAATAGTGTACATAAATAAATGGATACATATCAGATTTTGTGCTCTTATATTTGTAAACCTATTTTTCATCAATACTCTAAGATGAATGTTACTTTGTTTGCAATAAAATCAGAACAATGGCTATGCAAATATATGAGTACATATGAGTTAATAATTCAATTATAGAATATCTAAAATCTTAAGTATTTTATTTGTTATAAAAATATGATATCATCCTCTAATTAGCTTACTTTTTTAATAAAATAAAACTTTCAGAAGGGAAGACTAACATCATAAAAAAATAATAGGTTAGTTGAAATAATTCTGTTTAGAAAATTGCACGTTTTATTAACACTGCCCGATACCCAAACAACTATATGATCTCCTCAAGCAAGTCTAGCTTTATGGCACCAGCCGCCATTAGGGGTCTGCAATAACTACAATTACAACTAAGTATACTTTCATTTACATATAGGTTTTCCACAAAACTCTCATTAAAAAAACGTTGACCCTTAATTGAAGACAAAACTTGAACTAACTTTTTAACAACGTTGAAATAATTTCACTGTTTACTCATAATAATAATTAAATCGCCAGTTAGAACATCAGGTACAAAATTCAACTATAATCATGATATACTTATCAAAATTATAGTTTCAATACATAATATGTTTCTAAATAATATGTATATTACCCTTTGCTAAGATGTTAATAAGAATATGGAAAATTTAACACACAGCGGTCAGCCTATATCATAAAAATTTAAAGTTATGTTACAACTAACGTGTATATAATATGCAGCCAAGTTACTTATGGTACGCTGAAGTATTAAAAGTTATTGCTATCATTACAGTGTTCTGTTCTGTAACACGAAATGTTTTTATTAATTTTTAACTAAGATAATAAGAAAGCATTTTTTTACTCGAAACACTTCTCCAGGAAATTACATTATTTATTAACAAAAAAGGTTCTCATCTAATTTTATAGAAAGGTCGATCTGTTGTCTTCGATAAATATCAATCATTTCTAAATGGCTATGAAAATTATTATAAAAACAATGTCTCTCAAACATTAAGAGAATTTATTGAGTCTCTCGCTTATTTTGGGTGTGGATGCCACGAATGTTCGTAAAAAAGGTTCGTGATATTTCACATGAATCATTTGGGCCTAAGCATCTATAATAAATGCTAAAGAAATTTTTTCACAAAAATTTGACGTATAGTATTTTACGAGCATATTAATTTTGTCCATATTAAGTAACCTTACATTTAATACAGCTTGATTGTTATTCAATCAATACAACTCAGTTATATATTTTATTAATATTTGTCACTCTCGAATTCTTCTTTAGTTTAAATGTAATAATATTTTAAGTTAACGAAAAAAAAGCCTGGAGGGACTAGTCCCTCCAGGCTTTTTTAGAGAAAGCAGGAGTTCTGATTATTTTTATTATTAAAAATGTTACTTAAAATAACTTAAAGCTCTCTGGTCTAATATAAAATTAAAGCTTACCAATCCCAAACTATCTACTTTCAAAAACTATTATTCTATTTGTACCTAAAGCTGGTATCTTTAAGTCAATATTGGCAGGAAGAAAAATTACAGCATGTCGCATTCATAATAAACTAAATGGAAAACCCTTTCACCAATTTTTTTAAGACTTGTTTTTTTATTTGCAGCATAAGTGATGTTAACTTAACAAAAATTAATTAGTCTGGCACAATTGCATAGTAACTTAGTATTTTATCTAGAACTGCTCTGTTCAAACGTGGCTATAACATCCTGTTAGGAATAGAAACTCATTACAAATATTAAATGAAGTTAACCCGGTAATAAGTTATTAATTTCATTTTAGAAATTAATTTTCAACAGTTTTAATAGTCAACGGATATTTATATAATAATATTTAATAGTTTTATAAACGATTATGGGAATAGAAATTTAGTAGAGGGAAAAGAAAGTTATTATTAATTAAAATACGTAATATGTTTTTTATAAAGCTTGTTTATTTAACATCATATTTTGCAAAATAGACAAATATACATCATTATAGTCATTTTACTTAAAAAATCCGCATAATTTAACATTAATATATTACAAGGTACACGCTTTATATATTATAGAAATTATGAAGACAATTAAACAATTAGCAGAACAAATTGATCAATACACAGAATTAATAACGATATAATATTTAAGAAATGAAATCAAGCATTTTACAGTTAAAATCTAATTATTGTCATGGGGCTTTTAGTAGATGTTGAAAATTAATGAAAAATAATATATTTTTTACATCATACAAGATTGATTCTTTCGGTACGAAAAATAAGCAAAGAATTTAACAATTAGACAATAAAGCTAAACTCGATATACACAATGTTAAAAAATACTTCGGCTTAATGAAAACAAAATACGTATAACATCCATTCTTTAATTTATTTATAATTTAAATAATTTTCATATAAGGTAGAATAAAACATATATATACTTTTCATATTTACATAGTTGCTTTCAAATTAATACAAAACCTGTGACTTTCTGTCTATAGGTATTCGCATAGAATAAACTAAAATATATAATCGGGTGGGAAATGTTTCATATGAATTATAACCTTTTGGGCCCCATAGCATTACAATACATTTTTTCCTATTCAAGAGTAAACAATGAAAGAAAAAAATCACTATAATAGAAACAAATTAACGAATTAAATAGTTTCTAATATATTAGAAAATCAACTTTTCTATTTGATTTCTGGTTCTTTCGTAAATTTTTTCTTTGTTTTTTTTTACATTGTATTTTGCAAACCTAATAATTTATATGTCCATAGATTTAAAGCATAAAACCAACACATCACAAGCCGTGTGAGGGCCCAATGTTCATGAAAATAATGGCTTATGTGTTACATTTCTTTATATGAGGTTGTGTCATTTGAATACAAGAATTTGTCACAGTACCGAATGATATGAAGTGATGGAATCCAATAAAGTTATACACGGAAAGGTTTAAAGAACGACGACATGAAAAGGACAGTTGTGAATTTTTTTGCAACCGAGCTGAATAAGTGTAGGCTAGTACTTTTCCAAGCTTTTATTTTCCAAGTCGAATATCATTTTAGAAACGAAGTATAACATTTAATTAATACATGTTTACATTATATACAAGTTAAAAAAAATGCTTTTTTTTTCCTAAAATCAATACATTTTATTGAATGAATAGAAATCAACATGTGTTTTATTTGAACAAAATTTTTGTTTGTTGAATGTTGAATCTTAAAAATATATATTTATCATATCGCTATATTTTTAGCGTTTTGTAAAATAAATTAATAACTTACAATTATTTTTTTTTAATTCTTATTATATATTTAATTACAATATGACTAGCTTTCGTAAAGGAAATCAATCGCACCATACATTTTTCTAGTAGACTAATTACAATTATGGCACTAAAGTTGTCACTACGTCCAACTTTCAAACAAAAGGGACTCCATTTGCTCTTACACTATAACCATTAACATTGGTCACGATTTGTTATAAAAATATTCATTCTCTTAAAGATAATACTATAAATAGCCACAAGCTATAGTCAATGGCCCGCTTAAGATAAAAGTGAATCTTCAAATAGAACTAAGCTGTATTAAAAAATGAACCAATAAAATTCTTACTATATTTATTTAATGTATTTTATTCATCATGAGTGTTTATTATTGTATATATGAGAATCTTCTATGAATGATTCTTAACAGCTTAGGCTTAAGCGGACCAAAGAACCAGTCGGTAACTTTTAAATTAAAACTAAAATAGCTAAATATACCACGAAGCAATCTGTCTCTAGAATTGTGCAATTGTTTCATTAGTAACAGAGATAGGAACGAAAGTACGTTATTCAGTAATAGTGAAGAATATTAGTTTTAGATATCTGGTATATTTAAGAAAATACTTTTTTATTTATTTAATAATTTTAATAGGCCTAGTATTTTTTGGGATACCGTATTCCGAAAAGAAATAATTACATTTTTTCAACACGTAATAAAATAATGATATTAATAAATTTTTGCTTTTCGCTTCCAATGAAAAGTAATTACATCGGTTCAACGCGGTCATCAATTAAGGCGTATATTTCATTTCCAGCAAAATAAATATTTCAACAAATTACTTCAGAATAATTAATGTGAAAAACAAACGCTTCACTTGGTCCATTTGCACGACACACATTGTTTGTTCCAAGAATACATTATTCAAGGAGCAATACGCTATATCACAAACTTGCTCTTTCTGGGCCACTGAGGAACTTTGCGAAAACAGTGTAAGTAATCATGGAGACGAAGAATATTCAAATAAATAAAGACAATATCGCAGGAAACCTAAAAAAACATCTATTCATTTATTAATGTATTGAGAATTGATAATATAATATGTGGTAATAATAAAAGGAGGGTATCGTATATAAAGATAAGATTCTTTACGCTATAACGTAGAATTTGGAATTACAATTGCATTTGATATTTGTAGATACAATTATTTTTATAAGTACTTATTGATATCAATAAGTAGGTTCTTAAAATTGTTGGAAAGTGAAAAAAGAAAAAATATCCATCCAACGAAACTTAAAAAGATTAACAAACTATTACTAAATAAAGGATTTTTTAATTTAAAAACTATAATAATCCTTAAGTTAATCACTTAATAATGGGACATCGCGGTATGCTATTTCTATCTACAAATGCCAGCAGTAACATTTCACAAAAACTAACAGAACTTAATCAAATAGGGTCCCAACATTTTCCTACACTTCCATTTTTTATCCTTATCCAGGGTAATACTGTAACTACATCAGTCTCAGCTTGAATTATACAAATATGCTGACATTGTCACTACACGAAATCTCTTCGGCCGCCGTTGTCGATGCTACTTCGATCACTTACCACAGACACCTCTGACCCGTCCCTTTTCCGTCTGCACGCTTTGCACAATTTCGAAAACTGTGAAATAAATTAAATATAAATGTATGAAGCGTTTTTATATTATTCTCTCGCAGAAAAAAACAAAAGACCTTTTGAGGAATAGTATTGGATAAAGACTGTTAATATTATCATACCTTAACAAATGAGCGAACAGGTTGTTGTAAAACAAAGATTGCGAAAATAACGACGCCTTGCAACGCGTTGATCAAATCGAAGATTGACCAAACAGAGACAGCATCAGATCCGGCGCCGGCCGCCCATGACACCACTTCCAGTACCCAAGAGAGACCCATTATGACGGACAGCAAGCAGCAAGTACGGAAACTGCGCAAAAATCAATTCAAATTTTATATTTACAATATTATATGTAATGTAAAAAAAATTGAAAACGTAGGAAACGTTTTTGGACAGAATGTGAACGAACATAATGATATATAATTTAATCGTCTAATCAGAATCTCGCAAAATAAATTAAAAATACATATTCATCCACACAAAATTCACTTAACTCTTTCCTAATAATCTAACTAATAGTTTATTTGGCTTACATTTTCTTATATTTCTTTAGCCTTTGCGAGAAATTCATTTGTATCGGTTGTTGTTCTCGTGGAGGAGAAGCTGATCTCTCCTGAACGGATAATGGCTGACCCAATACAGTACTGAGTCTCACCCAGTCGTCTGATGTACTGAAGTCTGAATGTGCTATATCTAGTGCTAAAAGTACAAAATAATGTTATAATAATCAAAACTCCCAACTAAAAGATAAAGAGAGTTAAAAAGTAGTTTTCTTACGGCTTAGATCTTTCAGCTTATCGTAATGCTTAGCAAAAGCTCTGGATGTGAATAAAAATATTACAAGGTTGCTTAAAAGAATGACAGCCACAGGTCCATAGAAATAAGGCAAAGCCGCTTGATCCGCTAGAAAACAAAAAACATTATTGTTTTACTGATAACTTACAGTACTTTTAAATAAGATTTATGTCTAGAATATGTTTCAATAACAGTTTACAATATTTTCTTATTAATCAATGTATTGTAACAGAGCCCATTCTAAGATAAGTATGAAGTACTGATGAACTTACTTTTGAACCAGCATCCTTTAACTCCGAAATTAGGCTTCAAATAGGTACTGGGTACTGCCGGTGACAAATCCATCGCTATTGTCACCACAAGCAATATAACCGGTAGAAGAATTGCATATGCACAGTACCATGCAAATCTTCGTCTCATACTTCTTCTACTTACTGAAGAATGGATGTATCGTCTAAAAATACATGTTAAGATTTAAAAATATGATTTATGTAGTAATTTAAAAGTTTTTGCATCAACTTCCTTACCTTACGTTCAAATATGTATCGAAACACATAACATTGAGCCAAAAGAAACAAGACACGAAAGAAAACTGTATGAGATATGCTGGAAAAAAAAAGAAATATTATTAAAAACTTACAAAAATAAATAGTTTTTATAAGATTATATAAACTTACCCATTATTGTACAAGCTGTAACTGGAAATGCATGACCGGCCAATTGAGTAGCGGCCAAGCAACTAAAAGCTACAGCAAGGCAAATAGAGTGACAGGCTAATGCCTTCCCGTGAGTATCCCTCAATTCCGTGATAAGTATATAAATACCAGCTGTCGCTATGAGAAACGGCACTGATATTATCAAACCTGTCCAAAAATTATACAATATTAATTAAATAAGAAAGAAAAGAATCAAGATCTTTAAATTATTGTGTATAATTCCTAAACTTACCTATAGCATAAGCAACAAGAGTAGCTGATGTACTCGCTTCCTCAATGGGTGTTCGAAAACATATTAAAGGAAGAGTAATTCCTGCTGGATTTGACTCATTCCAAAAGGTTTCCATACAAAAATCTCGAGTACCAAGCAAAGGTGGTTGACTGTACGGTACGAATAGGGATCCATTAAATAACAGATAAAATTCATCTTCACTGACTTTATCTGGTTCCAATTTATACCTAAAATTCAGTTTTATTTTTAAAGACAGAATAAAAATTAACCTATAAGATTAGCAAAAATACCAGTTCAGAAAAAGAAAAGTACAAACAGTGTAGAAAACTTTGTTAACAAACAACTTAAACTAGTTTGCTAGTGTAATTGCAAAGAAACTTCGGTAGTAATACTAAATTCTAAATAAAATTAGGGTCATGTAAAACCACTGAAATTACCTATCGTAAGTGCAGGGGTTGCCAACAATTGTCTCGAAAACATTGCTGTCGTAATTCCAAATGTGCGTTTCGTTCGCCTTGTGGAAAATTGGTTGAAAAGTTAGTGTAGAACGAGTACAAACAGATTTTACTTTGCCATTTTCATAAGTAACTGTTAAATTCTGTCCGCTGGAACAACATTTTGGTACAACCGGCAGTTGCTTCTTAACTTCCTCGTCCTGTCAAACAAAACATAATTGGGAGGTAATGTTGCTTCTTCACAAATTAGGTAAACAATATAGAAGGCAATTTAAGAAAGGACAAGTTAATTTACTTGTCATATCAAAAATGATATATTGCACGGATCATATGACAACTGCCTAATCAAAATTCAAGACGACTATTTGAACTTTTGATGTATTCATGAAAGAAATCTGACTGAGGTTAAGGTTTTTGCTTTTAAAATTGGTCACGTAAAACGACGAAAATTATCCCTGAATTGAAATTGAAGGCAATTTATTTTTCTTAATTTTTCCTCTAGGCTAGAAATATAATGCGATGGAAATCTTCTCTATACGAATAAAGCCACAAATTTGTAACTCACTAATATCTCTCACTCACTAAACTCTTCAGACGTAAAACGAGATATGTAATGACTCTAAATACGCTTTTTGGATATTTAAATCCTATTATCACGAAAGGAACACTCATTTAAATACTCAAAAAATAAAGTAATAAAGAACGTTTAGAAATAGTGCATCATTATTAAAATGGAAAAGTCGTTTCCTGAGCGGAAAACACCTCACAAATGGCGGGGATCATCATAAAGCAACCATTACTACTCTCCTCTTGTTTGCTTGGATATTACGCCAGAATAAATGACACGTAAATAGAACTTAATCCGCTGGTTGGAATAGTAAATTACGCTTGCATTTAGATTTTCACTATTTTTTGAAACTTTTACAAAAGAGAATTTGAACAGGATTTAACTTTTAAAATCTCTGATTTATTATCAAAATGCCAGCACGATTCTTTTTATAGTTATGTTCTTTACGTCAAATTTAATGTTAGAGACTTAAGTAAGTGCTTATTTTTTAAGCTTTAATTTGACAGTAAAATCAAATCTGAATATCAGTGCTTCCCAATTGTGTCATTACAACAGCCAGGCACGTTTCTAACAACCGGCGTGACTACCATATAGCTAATAATATTTACCTGCTATCATGTAAATAGCGGTATGAAGATATGCATAATTTCATAATTTTGCTCAGTCTGCATAACATACATAATAAATAAAGAGAAACTTGTAAATCCCGTATAAACTTTCCTAAGTAGCACAGGAGTTCAGTTGATAAAATGCAAATATTGTTTAACAGCGTAATTGTACATCAAGTTCGTTCGTTGTCTTTGAATATACACGAGTATTGGTAAAGTAGAGTGGCAAACAAAAATAGAATATATATTTTATTCAACTTGTTATTCACATTTTAATTCAAAGTATAAAACTAATATCCAGTTGACAAAAATATGAAAGGTATTGACTAGCACACGAGCTATCCAGTACACAACTTTGAAACGTTGGAACTATTTTGTTTTACGATTTTTCCTGTCTGTAAAAACATTCGGCGAACACAGGTCGTGACGTCACTGTCAACTCGTGTAACAGGATCGCGTCGGAAACCCGTAAATATTTACCTTTTCCTCGAAACTTTCGCATTGCTCAATTACGGTTATTTATGTACAAATAGATATTGATAGTACCATGACATGGCCTTATTAAGTATACACTCCAGGACATTTCAATTACGTAAATAAAGAACAAATAAATAATTATCACTTAATATTTATATATAGTAATATATCACATTAAGTTGAATTAAAATTTTAAAAGGAATTCAAACTGTTGGCTTTATTCACTTGACATTAAACCTCGTCCTATCAATAACTAAAGAATTATTATATTTGTTTAATAAAAACGGATACAAAGTATTATGTACTAGGCATTTATAAGCCAAGTAAATAAGAATATATTTAACATTATTAGAAGCATTAGTTAAAAAATATATCAAATATTATTTATTTATTGTACAGAAATATTTTTACAAATAAAAAGTACAAAAAATGCCTTCAGTAAAATATTTTGCAACGTACGAAATTCTTTAGACCAAAAATCGTATAGAAGTATTTTCCTCAAAATATTTTCAGTATTTCGTCAACGCTTCCTTTTGACGGATAACTGTTGAAAACGTGATATAAGACAAAAATAAAAATATCTTTACACAAGAAAACCGTTTATTATTTATTATATAAAATACTATATATATTTTATAATAAAGTTATCAAATCTTTTTTAGCGAATAACGGATAAATGAACCAAAAATGTTACATTGACTTAATCCAACGGCAGCAATTTGTTTTGCAATACTTTAGTATGAAACTACCAGTTTACCTAACACGACCTATAAATTAAAGCTAGGATTGACCTTTTCAATAGTCTTGAGCATCAAGAATGTCTCATCTAAAGCTCTATTCTTAATGTCTCTTTGGAAACGTCTCTGATGGCAATGAAGTTTTAGCGGTGGAAATCTAGTACAATTTAAATCTAGTTGAATTTTACTTGATAATATGTATAATGAGTAACTTCATGTCTTTAAAACTTTTAACTATAATAATATATTTGTATGCAAGATATTATTAACAATATTCTCATATACTCGTTACGACTAAAAATATTTTAATATAAATATTACTTATACTGTTTGATTCATTTAATATCCTCTTAATTTTCATTCCAATAACTGTGATGTCATTTGATATTATTAACAATTCACAGTAAATAAACGATGGAAATAAATATCAATAAATTTCCCTTTGCATTCGAAAATTGTGGTTTTGAATTTGTCCTAAGAAACCTCTGTATTCTGACAGGCATTTCAATGTACATAATATGATTGTGCTTCACGCATGACTGGAATAAGGGCTCTTACACACTAAGAATGAAATCAAAACACGATACAGATAAATTTTTAACCCTATTTCGAATTTCCTCCACAATTACAATGTACCTATTACAAAAGATCACCTTATGTGAATTTAAACACCTTTGTTCAATATTGACGTATTTGAGCATATCACTAAAAACATTTCAAACAAATAAATTAAAATATAGAGTTATTATAAAGTTAAATCAAGAACTTCAACCATTTCATTGTGAGCGAGTTGTTAGTACCGTGCAAGCGAGTCACGTTTCGTTGAAATAAGTAGCATCACAAGGATGAGGTAAACAGCGTTGAACTTTGTCATGATATAAACAAAACTCGAATAAAATCCAATATATTGTTTAGACGTCATATAGAAAACTTACTCGTTTGCATATGTAATACTGTAAATTTTTCGTACTATTATAAATCGAAAAAAATATATAAGGTAATTTCGACAAGCGATCGAAACCACAGCAAACTACTAATCTATCGTTATAAATAAATTTAAAATAGTATGTTGTCATATGAAGTTGTAAGAATTTTTAATATAATATGTTTAAAGTAAACTTACACCTTTAAATGTAAACATTTATAGCTTACAAACAGCTTATAATTCAGATTATCAGAATAGATATTCTAAGCGAGAAATAATTCAAGAGTCGCTTTATCAGAAGGGTTGAGATGGCGCGTGGCAGGTAATAGAAAGTAAATATTTGCGGAGACACATACTCGTACAGAGTAACGACGTTTTACTATATACGAGATAAGATTAAAGACTTAGAGAGTATCATGATTTCCTTACGTTTATAATAACCGTTGATTCTATAATGAACATTTTTTCCTGATTAATTTATTAATTATATTTTATAGGTTAATTGAAATCTGAAAAATAAAATCACTTAAAATAAAAGTGCAGATTATATAATGCCGTACAGTCTTGTACTCATTAATTTTTTAATTAACTTAACCAGAGCTAAAGAATTCGAATGAGTATTTCATGAATTTATTTTAATGGCACGTTATGTGGAAATGCAGTTGGTGGAGAGATAAGGCAAATTAATTTCTTTTATTTTTGCTAATCTGACATCGCAATCTCGCCGCCCTAATATATATCGCTTAGTATTTCTGCTGTAGACAGCTGCGTTTGTACTTAACGATATTTATTTCGGCACTTTGGCCAGTATCTCTGTGGAGAGAATAGTCATATTAACAGTATTCCATCTTGAGAGTAAATTCGGTGCGTGGAGGCTTCGGGCAATCTCTTTAAGTGGCCTCCGTAGAGACTGCCTTATCGGACTTTATTAGTTATTTATTCTGAGATAGAACCCGACGCTTGGGAATGTCCTTCATTTAAATTGCATTATTTTTTTCTTTCAGCTCCACGTGATACACCCAACTTATTAACGGCATATGTTACGTAAGAGAATCGGGTTTCTGGGTCGTTCATTAATTTATATTGGAAATAAAATGCAATCCAATCTGTAGAACTTGCTTATATATTTGTAAATAACGTAACGATTTTTAATAATAATATAATTATAATAAAATTACTTATACATATGTTTATTTTAAACCTGTATGTGTCATTTAAACAGCTTTTATAAGTGACATATGTCAAAATATCAACTTGAACATGTCAAACCTTAGGAGGATTTCATTAGCGTCACAATAAACAACAACATCGAAGTTTATTAAAAAAATACTACACAAGTACTCATGTATAAATAATTGTAATTTATTACAAATAAATAAATATATACTGTGGTTCAAAAATAATATTGAACTTGTAACTTTACAGAAATCATCTGCTGAAGGTTTATTTTTTTAATTACTATGTTGTTTTACATGTAGACGGTTACTATATTTAATAATAATAATAATATTTTTTTTTTTAATTATATGCCTGTCTTTCTGTCTTTCTTTTTGTTTTCCAAAAATAATGCCAGAATATTTTCCGTTGTTGCTTACATAAGTTCGTACAAACGGAAAGATTAATTCTGAAAAGCTGATGGGATTTTAATGAGAAATTCAGTTCATGATAGAGGAATTTGTAGGTTAATAAAGGCTTTAGCATCGTTTAGTAACAAAACGTTTTATTTTAAAGCGCTATATTGTTAGATTTTATAGAACAATATCTGACTGCCATTCCATGACGAGCACAACGTAAAGCGACTGCCATAAAACTTGTATTTAATAGCTTGAAGCGGCTTATCTCCCGACATGACAGCGGCTACCGACTGACACTCATAGATAAAACA